ATAAAATATATATAAAAAAAAAAAAGTTCTGAGAAATCCTGCATAAAAGAAAAAAAAAAAATTACAGCCTTGGAAACCCAATGAAGGAGTTCTACTGTCTCCTACAGGGTTTACAGAGTTGCCATGAGTCAGAACCGACTCCACAGCAAGGGGGAGGTGTGGTGGAGAGTGCTACGGGCTTTATGTATAGGAAATCACTGAATCTTCACAACATCGAGTGTGGGTAACATTGTCACTTGCACTTTGCAGATGAGGAAACTGAGGCTTAGAGAGAGTGAACCAAGGGGCCAAGCTAGTAGGTGGCAGAACTGGGATTTAAACCAAGCTATATTTCATCCCAAAGCAGTGTTTTCTGGCCCATCGCTATTCCTTATTAAGCACTGACAGGCAGGCAGTGACCACCTTGTCTGAGTTCTGGACAGTGTGCTCAGTGTATGCTAAGTTATTTGAACACCAAGGAGTTGGGTAAACTCCAGAGGATCAGGACTCCGAAGACCAGCGTTCCAGGCTGTATAACCAAACCATTAAACTCCATGAGCTTCAGTTTCTTCTCTTATAAACACTGAGAATCCAGTGGAATAAGATGCTTGAGGATTGTTTTTTAATTTTTATTGTAATTTAGGAATCTCTGGGCAGGATGTAGTTGAACTCTGCAAGGTCATGGCTGGCTTGAGGTTGGTTCTGCTGATATCGCTCTGACAGTGTTTCAGGAGCTAGAAGTGGTTCATCAGCCAAGTGTATTAAAGTCATCAAAAGTCATTCTTGGAAACGACCTGAGGAAGCTTATCTAGGTCAACCCCTTTGTCTAACATGGAGGAGAGATGGAGGCCCAGATTGGGGAAAGGTTGTACTTAAGGTCTCGCATGGCAAATGTGGGCAAGACTCTGGGTTGCCTGACTGCTACTGGGGTGCTCTTCCTACTACATCTTGCTGCCTATTGTCTAATCAACTGAGAATACTAAGCATCTCCTGTGCAGGGCTCAGGGGACAGATTGATGCATGAGACTGACACAGCTCTGCTCGCATGGAACTCTAGTCCAACAGATCAACTACATGCCCTGTGTTACCGTGTTACCTGTTGTGGGTGTTCAAAGGGTTGTGAAAAATTCCACAGGCCCTAACTTCTGTGTTATACTCCAGTGTCCTGAAGATCACTCTGGACAAAGAGAAGGATGCCACTCTTCTTCCGAAAGCGGAAACCCAGCGAGGAGGCTCGGAAACGCCTGGAGTACCAGATGTGTCTGGTGAGGGACAGGGGTTTCCTCTGACTTATCCGCATGTCTTCCTCTGACCCATGGAACAAGACTCGCACCATCCCTAAACAAGCCGTGCTCCCTCCCTTCTGCCTCTCCTACCCCAGAGTTATAAGGATGAAATCTCTGCCTCTCAGACCAGACCAATGAGGCCTCTGTCAAGTGTTCCAGGAGTGCCCTGAGCACTCCTGTGTAACACTGATCACACTTGTCATTGCTTGTTCAGTTTATCTTCCCTGCTGGACCTCAGGCTCTGTGAAAGCAGTGACTATTGGTCCACCTACAAAACAGACTAGCTGAACCAAGTGGTGTCTGTGAACCTTTGCAGCTCCTTGATTCTATGTCTCTGTTTTCCTGATTTGTCTGTTCTGCAAAGATGATTTGCTTAAAAACATCTTTTTCTGTTGTTCTTTTTATCCTTAGGCAAAAGAAGCTGGGGCAGATGACATTCTTGACATCTCTAAATGTGAGCTCTCAGAGGTTAGTGTTCGGGCTGTGAATTTGATCTGACCTGTGCTCCTAGGAAAGACAGATTTGGATGGGGGGCTTTAAAAAAGCCAGAAGTACTAGATAAGACATGTTTCCTTGGATTTTGCTCTTGCCCAAAAGAATTGAGATGATCCTTTGGCCTCAACATAGTCTCCAAGAATCAGAGTCTATCTAGAAAGTGTACCCACAGATCCCTGGAGTACTGGAAGAGTCTGGGATTCTCCTGCCTCTACAAAACACCAGAGACCCTTTTCCTGCCCCTGATAGCATTCCAAACGGGGGGGTGTGGGTGGAGGGGGCGGGGGCAGGCCAATCTCCTGCCGACTGATTGGAAGGGAGGGCTGATCACATCCTCAGCAACATCCCTGGGCATCCTTTCCCCTGGGCTTAGCCTTTCTCCACAGCAGCATTTCGCATGGCAGCACGCCCACCTCCTGCCCCGTCTCTCCCGCACATGTGTGCCACTCAGAGAGCACATTAAAAACGGGCAAGAAAGAAGGCACTGACTCTTCTTTATCTCATCTTAGATTCCATTTGGGGCTTTTGCAACATGCAAAGTTCTACAGAAGAAGGTGAGATGGCTGTTCGTTTTCAGAGAATTGCTTCTTGTGTGTTTGCATGTTTGAAACCACATGGGACTTTTAGGAGCTTTCTTCCTGACATAGACACTTCCTTTCTCTTGGCTTTTAGCCTGCAGCAGGTGTTCATAGTTAGCAGAGTAGGCTTAGGGATGGGACAACCCTGGGTCACATCCTGGCTCTGCCCCTCCCTGGCTTCATGACTGGGGCAACTTCCTTAAACTCTTACATCACAGTTTCTTCATCTATGAACTGAAGTCATAATTCTACTCTCTCAGAGATGTTTTGAGAATTAAGTGAGTAATGGTATAGATATATAGATGGAGATAGAGGTACAGATGTGCTGAGTATAATGAGCAGCTTCATTGTTAATTACAACTACATTCAGTTCATTCTGGTCACCCAGGAAAGATTTAGAGTGAAATGAATGATTTCTTAGAAGACCCTTGCAGCTTTGAATACAAATAGGTAAGAATATTCTAAATGAAGTATCTAAGTGAAGATAGGTAAAATGTGTACCATCCTGACAAAGTAGTGAACACCTTGTCCCTGTAAGTATTAAAGCAGTGGTTGCATGCCTAACAAAAAGAGTAATAGGTAACACTGAGCGCTTACCACCTGCCAGCCCTCAGCTAAGTGCTTTTTGTCCATTAGCTTATTTAACCATTATGGCAGCCCTTGGACACAAGTACTTTATTATTCTCTTTTTTCATATGAAGACGCCAAGGCTGAGGGAGGTAAGATCAGGACAGCTGCAGAGGGGCCCCTTTCTTAGGATGGAAGGTAAAATGAGACCTCTACAATCCCTTTCACCCTTGAAACTCCAGATTTTAAGGTCATCTGATTCCAGATTCAGAGGTTCCATGATTCTGAACTGCATATCCCCCTGTTGCTTGTGTCCGGGAGAGCAGAGACCATGCCATTGGACACCTCAGGGCCACTGTGTCCTGTGCTGAGCAGGCTATCTTCTCTTTCAACCTTCCCTACCTGTTGCTCTTCTTTAACCTGAACATTTCCTCAAATGATTTCCACACAGGTGTTGATTGTCCACACGAATCACCTCACCTCCCTGCTTCCTAAATCCTGCAGTCTCCTGAGCCTCACAACCATCAAGGTACTGTGGCCTTTCTCCCAGGCCTCTGACTCTGCACCTTTCCAGCCCATGCCCAAGGAGACTCCCTTTATGTCTCCTCTATTAAAGTTTCTGCCAGACGGGTCTGATACAATAGTAAATCTGGGATTTGATCAGCATGGATTATTTATCACCTTCTACATGCCGTGCTTGGGGTAGAGGTGGAGTTACAATGATAACCAGTCACAGGCCCTGCCCTTGGGGAGCTTATGCTACGTGGAGAGCCAAATCATAAAGTCATATCAAGTAAACCAGCAGAGAGCGAGGAAACTGATGGTCCCAAACAAGAAGGAACAGGAGGGACGTCCAGGGCATCGATGGTTAATGTGTGAAACCCCGGTGAACTGGAAAGACCCCTCTCGACTGTGAGTTCCTCCTGGACAGGGACGTATTCACACTGTATAGGAGGTGTGACCCCAGGGTTGTTCCACTTGACGTGAGTTTGCGAACATGGTATACACACTAAGAAAAAGTACTGGAAAGCCTAGAGATCAAAAAGGGTTTTCCATGGTTAACTCTGGTTGGTGGGGACTGGGGGTAGTTTCTACTTCTTTATTGTTGTGGTCCAGCATCATTTTTGTATAAAGATAAAAAAAGATAACGTTAAAAAAATACGTTTATAAATAAATAAAATGCGTAATATACACACGCATACACCTTGTTGTTAGTTGCCGTTGAGTCGGCCGTGACTCGTGGCGACCTCATATACAGCAGAATGAAATGTTGCCCAGTCCTGTGTCATCTATGCCTTGTTTGCTCACTTTCATTTTAAAAAAAAAAAAAAAAGAACAGATACAGTTAATCAAAGTGTAGAGGGAAAATACCACATATAACTTCTCCCCGCTGGAGAACTGCTATCAATATCTTATTACATGTTTTGCTAGTCTTTTTTTCTATGCAAAGATATGTTTATACTTTGGGGTGCTTTTCTTTTTAACGTATGAATATCTTGGCCTGCTGTTTTGTAGCATATTTTTTCACTTGACAGTAAAAGTGAACATTTGATAAAAGAATGAAATGGTGTAAGAATTTGAAAAAGAAAATGAGGTAGGAGTGGTCAAAGCTTAGATGGAGTGGAAGGGTAGGGTGCACCTTGTTTCAGCACCAGAGGCATGAGGCGGCTCCGAGACTCTTCTTGCCGCTCTGGATCCTGAAATCTGGTGACTGGTTGGTGTTAAGTTTGTCTTCTTCTGCAGGTTCTGGATCTTCACGATAATCAGCTGACAGGTCTTCCTGACGATATAGGGCAGCTGACAGCCCTGCAGGTATGGCTGCAGGAAATAGAAAGCCACCTCCCACTTGCCTGTGCCAGACATTGCAGTCACACTGCCTGCAGTTTCCTGGTTGAGCTCTAGCGAGCAGAAGCAGGTGCCTTCAGTGCCAGCGCCGTCCTCCCCTTTGCTCTTAAGCTGCCCCAAGGACACCCCTCTCCATTGCAGTCTGGGCTGTGGGTGTCTCTCTCATGTCTGGCATGTGCTTTTTGGATTTTTATCATAAGCTTCCACAACTTTACAGAAAAAAAGGGCCCAGTGAGTCTACCTTTTAAAAATGATGAATTCAGCCCTCTGACTCACCGTCAGTAATAGCACACCCCCCCACCACCCCCGTTTGCTGAGTGCTCACTATGTGGCAGGCCTTGGGCTAACCATTTCACTTACATTGTCTCTTCAATCCTCACAGCCATTGTGGGGTAGTTTCTATTATTGTCCCCACTTTACAGAAGTGGCTTCCCATTGCACTTAGATTAAAACCCATTCTCTTCACCATGGCCAATAATAACACCCTATATGAGGGGCCCCACCTGCCTTTCCAGACCCTCTCCTCTCTCCCCACTGCTCCCAAACCCTCAAGGCCTTTGCACCATCTCCTCCTTCTGCCTAAGTGCCCTTCCCAGGGCTGTTTCCCTGGCTTATCCTTCAGCCGTCTGCCCAAAGGCCTCTTCCTCTGAGAATCCTCTCCCACAAACTTGTCTAAGCAGATCCTGTTATTAGTTTCTCTCAGTACCTGCTTATTTCCCCGCGCACGCTAATTGCATCCGTAATTATTAATTATGTTTACTGCTTTATTGACTACCTCCCCTACTGGAATGTAATCTCTACAAGGGCAGCACCTTTACCTAACACATGGAGGGGCCTAAGAAACTGTTTAAATGAACAGTCCCATGATGTAGGTGATGTCATTTTATTTTATGGAAGAGAAAACTGAGACCCAGAGGGATGACTAACTTGTCCAAGGTCACGTAGAGAATACGTGACGGAATAGCAGTTATTGCCACCGCTTAGAGAGAGCCACAGTAAATACCTTGATGGAGATCTTTGGGAATTTTTTAGGTACATATTTTTATGGAATTGCTGTGTTCACTGTTTTGAAACTTTTGGATATCTGACAATAACTCGTCCTGTCTTTCCAGTTCATCAAATATTCATCCACTACAGTATTTTAATGTCTTGTTAGCTTTCTGTTGTGCCTATTTGTAATGATTGCTTAGTGTGTCATCCTGCTGGCCTCGCTCGCTCAGCCCTGCCAGGTGGGAGCTCAGCCTTCAGAATCCAACAAGCCCGGTTCTAATCCCAGCACTGCCCCCTGCCAGCTTTGAGACCTCAGGCAAATCACATTGCCTTTATGCAGCTTAGTTTCCTTTTCCTTAACATCAGGATATTAGAGCCTTGTCATGCGCTGCCTTGCCCAGAACCTGAATATGTTAGGCCCCTTCTTCCTCCCTCCCCGATTGTGGGGAAGTTATTGGGCATTTTGTGGTCGATATAATTGACTGGGACCCCAGCCAGAATCCAGTTCAAGATTTGGCTTTGCTCCCTTGGGCACATTACTTTGCTGCTCTGAGTCTCAGTTTTCTCATCTTTCAAATGGGATCATAACAATTATACCCTCCTCAGAGGGCTGCCCGGAGGAGAGAGATGTGTATAAAGTGCCCTGGCCCAAGCAGGGGTTAGGGAATGCAGGGGTAGTCACTGTGTCTGAATATGGGTTCTCGTGTCATGTTTTCCTCTTCCTTAGGTGTTGAATATGGAAAGGAATCAACTGACATATCTCCCACGTTCCATTGGGGACCTGATCCAGCTGCAGACCCTCAATGTGAAAGGTAGGGAGGCCAGAAAGCCCTGTCTGTGTGACCCTTGGTCAGCTCGAGGCTGTCCCAGTCAGGCTGCATGCGGTGCTCAGCCTGGGAGCCATTGAACACAGAGGTAGCCTGTCTCAAGGTGCTCTTTAGGCTGGAATGACCTCCTGTTAGGTCATTCTGTCTCCATGGTAATCAGACAGGGTGTCTGAGGGTTTCCTATGGCCCCTTGGAGCCAGGGCCTGGTGAGCAGTGGGGAAGATGGCATTGACAGCTAGACCCGCCCCCCAACCCCAAGACTCGGTCGTTCATATTTAAATAGTGAGTAGTGACAGGAGTAGTGGACTGACTGGGTGAGAATGATTCAGGAACCACGGTAATGATTCTAGTATCACTTCATACTCAGTGGTTGTGCTTCCACTCCTGTGTTCAGTGATGTGGTAGCCTTGTGACAACTCTGTGAGTGAGGCGGAGAGAAGTGGTATTATCTCCCAGTGAGGGAATTGAGGCTCAGAGAGGAACAATTGCTAAGACAGCCCAGCGAAATAGTGCCAGAGCCAAGATTCTAATGCCGTCTTCTTACCCTCATCTGAGTGCTTACCTCATTAGACCCATCAGGTCTTACATCTCTTCTTGCTGTCCTTAAGTACTTTCTGCACAGAATACCTCAGTTTACCCCCTTTGTAGCATGTGAATAATTATAAAAGTAATGGCACCCGTTTGTTGATCACTTACTGTATGATGGCCACTGTGCTGAGAGTTTCGTATGCATCATCTCATTGAATCCCTCAATATTCCTATCAGGCCAGATAGTAGTAGTATCCCAGTTTTACAGATGAGAAAACTGTTGCCCAGGGAGGTAGATCGGTTGTCCAAAGTCTCTTAACTAGTGCGTGGTGATGTAGAAATGTGAATTCAGATCACTGAAACTCTGACATGTGTTCTTACTCATGGAGCCTCAGGTTCCGGGACCTGACGGTGGTGTATGCTCCTGGGTTCAGAATGAGGCCCCAACCTCCCCTGAGTCCTGTTGGGTGTCAGGCATGAAGCTGGTGAAGGGGCTTTGGGGTGTTGAGCTGTGCCATTGGGATCTCTCCAGATAACAAGCTGAAGGAGCTTCCAGACACCTTGGGGGAAATTCGGAGCTTACGTACTCTCGACATCAGTGAAAACGAGATTCAGAGATTGCCACAGATGCTGGCTCATGTTCGAACCCTGGAGGTAAGCGGGGAGCCATTTGCACTTGGGGTCCTCTCTGCACCTACCTACTGCCCCTCACTCCCACATTCCTGAGTGCCTTCCCTGGTCACAGGGTTCTGGGGTCACAGAGACCCCATGGCATGGCCCTTGGAGCTCACAGAGACCGGCATGTAAACAGCTCTCATTCGGTGACTTTTACTGCCATGTTTGAGGCAGAAACACATATTTCTAGAGTGAAGAAGAGAGAATGCTGAATTCCGATGGTGGTAACACTTTATGAAGGAAGTGGTATTTGAGCCAGACCGTGAATGACGGAGAACATTTTGAGAAGTAGACCTGAATAATGGTGCGTTACAGGTGGAGGGCACAGTATGAGGAAAGAAAGGAGTAGAAAAGCAAGGTGTGTTAAAGGAAGAGGGAGGGAGCTGATGTGGCTGAAAGTTACTGTGCCTGGAGGCTCCAGATCTTAAAGAGCTCAGAAAGCTGTGAGGGAAGGGCTGTGGAGGTTAGGGTGGGAATCGCCTCAGGTCAAGGGTCTGGGCTTCCGCTTGGCAGGTGCAGAAGCTGAGTTTCATCAGAGCAAGGGGTGGAGTGGGATGAACACTTCCTGGGACACTGACATAGGGCATCCCACTCAGTGAGCGTGGACTCTCACAGTGACCTGACGGCTCTGGTGACGCATATCTATCTTGTGCTTCCTAAGGGCTACACACCTGACCTGGGTTATCTCCCTGAATCCCCAATAATATTTGTCCTGTGAGGCAAATACTTTTGTGCCACTTTGCAGATGAAGAAACTGAGGCACAAAGAGCCTAATGAGCTTGCCCAAGGGCCACACAGCTAGTAATAGCCAAGATAGGTTTGAAAGTCAGGCAGTCTGAATCCAGGGCCTGGGCTCTTCACCTCTGTGAATCTCCGCCTTCTGGAACAGGGCTTTATTCACTCAGTGGACAGTCTGGCCAAGCATTCCAGAATCCTCCAGTGAGCAGTCAGTGAAATACCTCAGAGACATCTGTATCAGGAGTGGGTAGGTGAGCATGGAGACAGAGCAAAGGGAGCTGGTGACCTCAGCGGCTGTGCCCTCCTGCAGTGACTGCAGCCTAAGAAGAATAGGTAGTCAGGCTCCTCTCCCTGGGCAGGCTGAAGAGACAGGCTGGCACATGCTTATTCTCCATGCTCTCCAGTGGAACCAAAAGAACTTTCTGCAATGATGTTCAGTGACTGTGCTGTCCAAATTGGTAGCCACTAGCCACACGTGGCTGTTCAGCACTTTAAATGTGGCTAGTGTAACTGAGGAACTAAATTTTTTATTTTATTGCATTTTAGTTAATTTACATGTAAATAGCTACATGTGTTTAGTGGCTACCGTATTGGACAGCACAGCTCAGAGCACATTTTCCTAACTCTGAAGCCATTCTAAGTCATCTAGACTTAGATGAGAGCCCTGGGAGTGATTCATCATATATCAAAAAAAAATCCTTTGAGCTTTTTGGTGGTACCTTGCAGAAGCTTTTATTTTTTAGAATGAGGGCATAACAGCAGCCATTCTTAGTTGAGGCGCTACTACGTGCAAGGTCTTTTTCATGTTGTTTCACATAACCCATCAGATAGCCTGCAAGGTTGGCGATATTATTCAAAGAGATAAAGAGGGGTCCCCTTGTGTTTGCAGACTCTGAGCCTCGATGCTTTGTCCATGGTCTACCCTCCACGGGAGGTGTGCAGTGCTGGCACCGAGGCCATCCAGCAGTTCCTCTGCAAAGGTAAGGCTAGGCAGCCCACCTCATTCTCCCAGTGAGGAGCCATGACCCCAGAGCCTACTGTGTGCTGGGCTCAGGCTGTTATGTGGCAGAGACCAAGATGGCCCCAGTTCCTGCCTGCTTGGAGCTCAAGGCCCGGCAGGGGAAATAGGCAAAACAAATGATTACACAAGGAAATATAACTACAGATTGTGGTTACAAGAGTGTACAGTGCAGTACTTCATGCTGTGGAGTCCCATGGCTTATGTAGCCATCCCCTTGTTGTGAGCATGGAGGTTGTTTCTAATTTCCCATGACGATGAACGTTTTCATCCACACCTCTCTGGGAAAGTATGAGTTTTCCTGCAAGGCAGATAACAAGTGGAGTTGCTGGATTAAAGGGAGTGAGCACTCTGCACTGCCCTTTGAAGTGGTTACACCAGTTTACATTCCCATGAGAAGTGTCTGAGGAGATCCCTTTTTTCCCCCACAACCTAGCTGACACTTGGTAGTATCTTAAAAGTCTGCCGGTCTGATAGATAGACAAGAGAGTCTGCTATTATTTTAGTGTCATGTCCATGATAATTTGGATAAATTTTCATGTATCTAGGGCCATTTTTAGTATTTCTTCTAAATTGCCTATTTGTATCCTTCCCAGGAGTGGGGGGAGAATAACTTTTGACTACATCAAAATAAAAAACTTCTGTACCTCAGAAGGACATCCTCATCAATGTTAAAAAGATAAGTAATCCCCTGGAAGGAGAGAGTTGCAACGTATATAGTAGACCTGAGGTTATTAACTACAGTGTACAAAGAACACCTACGAACCAGTAAGAAAAAGGCAAACAGCCCAACAGAAAATGGGTGAAGGCTGTGAACACTTTCAAGTATACAGGGCCAGAGAAGGCAAACATCTTGCTCAAGGTCACACAACTCAGCCAATTACTGGTAAAGCTGGGTCTTCGATCCATGCCTTTCTATTAATCTCAGGCTTTTTCTACCATCTCCATCTCACTTGGATGGTAAGGAGGCAGATGGCATTCCCACTTATTCATCCAGCTGACATATATTGAACACTTACCACATCCCAGGCCCCAGATTAGGACCGGTGGACAGCACAGAGTGCCCTGTCTATGGAAGAGGAAAGCAGTGGACTGAATCACGGGAGAGCAGAGGACGCTGGAGAGGAAGGGAGAGGAAAGGGCTGCAGGAGCTGGGGTCTGAGTACCCAGGCATGTCTCTTCCCTCCTGATCAGCTGCGTCCCATCTCTTACAGAGTCAGGGCTGGAATACTACCCCCCTTCTCAGTACCTGCTGCCAGTTCTGGAGCAAGATGGAGCTGAGAACTCCCGGGACAGCCCCGATGGGCCCACAGACAGACTCTCAAAGGAGGAGCTAGAGTGGCAGGTAAGGTGCACCTTGCCTGCTGGCGTAGAGGGATGTTCAGAGCTGCAGCTCCCAGATTCCTCCATCCATGAGGGCACAGGAGCAATAGATGAGCCTCAAGAATCAAACTAGGGTTTCACCCCCCAATTCAGATCGATGTGCTTAGACGCATTTACAAAGCCTACTTTGACCACCTCACCTCGCTAGCTTACCAACCACCAGCTGTACCTTACTCTTCTCTGTTTCCTGAACAAACCACACTCCTACACCCCTCAGGGCCTTTGCCAGTCAGTTCCCTCTGTCTGCAATGGTCCCCACTCACTTTCTCCTAGCTCACTCAGTCTTATCCTTCAGTTCTCGGTTTAAACATCACATCCTCTGGGGTCCTTCCCTGACATGCCAAACCAGGTCAGGCCTCCAGTGACGTGTTCTCCTAGTGCTCTGCATTCCGTTGATAGCACTTACTGCATTGTAAGTTAAGAATTCTGTGGGAAATTGTTTAATGTCTCTCTTCACTGCTGGGCTGAGCTTCCTGAGAGTAGGGATCATGTCTGTGTTGTTCATTGTTGCCTCTCAACAAATATTCTTGAATAAATACCATTGCCATACAGGACACCTGCCATGTACTCAGTCTAGTGAAGGAGTCAAACAGGTACTCGGTCATCACAGGCTGGCCCTCCTGGGTCACAGGTGGTGTACTAGCATAGGACAATCCTGGAGGAGGAAGCTCAGCAAGTGTTTGCCATGTTAACCCAGGGTACCCAATACTGGAGCCAGATAGAAGTCACCTCTGGATCTGCCCTCTGCTCGCACTGTGGAGGCTCACAAGCCGGGGAACCCTCTGATAGCTGGGACAGAGATGGTGGACACTGGGGGAGCAGGCAGTGCCAGCTGCTGTTGAGTTTGGCTTCATAGAAAGTGGGGCATTGCCACGCCCCTGAAGATCTTCCATTATCCCATGCTCAGCCCCTGCCATCTTAGGGCTTGCTAGTTTTGTAGGGATTTGTTGCTGGCTTTCTGGGGATTTGTTGGGAAGACTGATCCACCCGTTTTCTAGATGTCTCTTCCTTTGCCTTTGGGATTTTCATTTTCGGTGGGATTTTCTATCAGTCCAGTCCAGTCTGCTTTATATCTTGCAGTAGTTTTTTTCAGTTTCTGATTCCCTGATGCTACCCTCCCCTGTTTTCCAGTACTTCTGTGAATGCATTTGTAATTTTATACTTCTTTTGGCACTTCAGTGAGAATTGGAGAGGGAGGAGATTGCAATCTAGGAAGATATGTGCCAGTTTATACTCTCAGAAAGCATTTTTAGCAGACATATCCAATGAAGGATTAGCAGACTGAACATATAAGGAACCTCTTCCAAATGAATAAGAAAATAAAACAATCCCAATAGGAAAAATAGACAGAAGATTTATCAACAGGTATTTCTCAAAATTAAAAACTGCAAAAAAGAAAGGTCAGTAAACGTGAAAAAATGCCAAACTTCACTAGAATGAGAGACGTGCAAATTAAAACAGTAAAAAACTATTTCCCCCCCTCAGATTGGCACATATTTTTGTTTGATAATTTCTGTTTTCCGGAGTATGGAGGAAACAGGTACTCTCATAAGCTGCTCGTGGGAGTGGAAATTGGTATCACCACTTTGGAAGATAATTTGATAATCTATGTCCCATGATGAACATAAATGCCCGTGATCCAAAAGTTCCACTTCTGAGTCTATACCCCAAAGAAATACTTGTACAAAGAAGGTTCATTGCAGCCTTATTCGTAATAGTGAAGTATTGGAAGCCCCCCTAAATGTCTTTCAGTAGGAAGGAGCTAAACCAGCTGCATCATATCCATACCATGAGATAGATCTCTGCAAACTCAGGACACCAGGACACATGGATAAGTAAAAAGGGCAAGATGCAGGGCACAAAAGATATAGTATGTTTCTATTTTTATGTTTGAAAAGAAAACTCAAAACGAATGCATAAGAAAACAGATCAGTAGTTGCCAGGGGCTGGGGGTGGAAAGAGGGTTGGATGACAAAGGGGCCCAAAGGAATTTTTTGGGCTGATGGAATTGTTCTATATTCGGAGTATGGTGGTAGTTATATGATTATATATGTTGGTCAAAATTCATAGAACTGTGCAGTAAAAAGGGTGAAATTCACAGTATGTAAATTATACCTTGATTAAAAAAATACTTTACGTGTATACGTACATATATATACACACACACATACACACGTATGTATAGTATAGAATACTTTTTTTTTTTCCCAAAGACAGAAGTTATATGTATATGGATGTGTGGGCTTGGGTCTGATAATGGTGGTTACATCTGGTGTGAGGTATGGGAAGGGAGGGAAACCAGGATTAGGCCAGGTTGTGGTCAATAGATACTTTAGTTATATATGCCATGTTATAATTTTTTACCAAGAGAACATATCCAGATATTACCCGTTTAATTAAAGATTAATTTTTTTAAAAATCAGCATAAGAAAAATCGTATTTATTTGTAGAATACTGCTGCTTTTACAACCCGGACAGAGGCTGATCCTCATCTCAGAACAGAAGGGCCATTAAAAATGTGTGTGTGTCTTTAATTATTAAAGTAATTCATAGTCCTTATTATAAATTTAAACAATACAGAAATCTATAAAGTAAGTGGATGTCAACCCTTCTGCCCTGCAGTCCCAGCCCCTGGAGGTAATCATCATTAACCGATTAATGAATGTCCTTCCGGACTTTTTTCTCAGCACCTACGTACATATTCTCAGAGTGAATTTTTGTTGTTGATGTAGTTTTTACAAAAATGGAATCATGCTACATGCAGGATGGAAGGCGGTAGATGTCTTCCACTACCTTCATACACATTTGCTTCATTATTTGGCAGCTATATAATAGCGCTTTGTATGGATGCACCATGGCTTACTGAAATAATCACCTTTTGATGGACATTTAAGTTATTTCCAATGTTTCCCTGTTTTCACCCTTTTGAACAATTGTGCAGGAACTTGTACAAACACCTTTGTGTGTTTGTGAGAGTAGTTTTGGTGGGTAGAACCAGGTACTGAAGGTGTGTTAACATAGACGTATGAGGGAATCACATGTTCCCATTTCTTGGTCTTCTGTAAGGAGCACTGCACCTTCTCAGTGCCGTGTCCCCGGAACTGTCTTGAAAATCTCCGTCAAGATTTTCCGCCGAGCACATGGTAGCAGCTCAGTGGTTCTCTGGAGCCCTGGATGCCCACTGGAACCACTTGGGGCCCTTTATCAAAATGCCCATTGCCTCATCCCACCCAAACCACCACTCTGATGCCATAGGGCTGTGGTGGGCCTGGGAGTCTGTATTGTATCAGGCTGCCCTAGTGGTTCCTGGCACACGTGCTGGTTGAGAACCACTTCCACCTGCCGTCTCTTGACCACAGTCTTTTCCCCCCCAGAATAGGTTCTCAGACTATGAGAAGAGGAAGGTAAGAAAATGCTTTTTTTCTCTGTCATTTTTCGTCTCATTAAAGTTCTCAACCTTTATAAAAGATTTGAGGAAATGACTTCTTCCCTCCTCTAAACTGGAGGTTAATGTAATGCTTTCCTGTTACGTACATCACCTTGCCAAGTCTTCACACAACCTCAGGTGGATGGTAAAGTGTCTCCATTTGACAGATGAGGAGACTGAGCCTCAGAGAGGTTGAGCCCAACCCTAGGCTCTGAACCGCTAGCTTCTGCCAGTGAACAGCCCATTGTAGTACAGTGGGCCTGGTGGAGGGAGTAGGGGTGGGGGAGCAGGTAGTTGCTCAGCATTGAGACCTGCACCGTGCAGAGCTGAGGGTGGATTCACCCTGCTCTCATGCACTAACACCCACAGAGCCTTGCTTGGTCTCTGGCCTGTGCCAACAGTCACCCGGGATCTACATTCTTGCAGGAACAGAAGATGCTGGAGAAACTGGAGTTTGAGCGGCGCCTTGAACTTGGACAGCGAGAGCATGCCCAGCTCCTTCAGCAGAGCAACAGTCAGAAGGACGAGATCCTTCAGACAGTTAAGGAGGTTTGTGAGTGGCCAAGTGAGTCAGGCTTGTCTGTGTCCCCCCATCAGTGGCCTTCTGACTCAAGCCGGGGTCTCTCTGATGTAGGAAGGCAGAGGGATCAAGCTTTCTTACTTCTGTCCTCCAGGAACTGCGAGGGCCTTTACCAGTCACCTAGTCCAGCCTCCTCATTGTGCAGGTGGAGGCTCTGAGGCCTAGAGAGGGAGGAGCTGGCCCATGGTCACACAGGGAGGACTGGTGAGGCAGGACCAGAAGCCAATCTCCTCCTGTCCTGGTCCTCTCCTCCCCTGCCCTTCACTGTGCTATGGCATCGAGGGAGTCCCCGCTGACTCAGGACCTCTGCGTCTCCTGCCGCAGGAGCAGTCCCGGCTGGAGCAGGGCCTGAGTGAGCACCAGCGCTACCTCGACGCAGAGCGGCAGCGGCTGCACAAGCAGTTGAAGCAGACAGAGCAGAACATCTCACACCGGATCCAGAAACTCCTGGAGGAGAATCAGAGGTGAGGCTCCTGGCCTCCAGACCCAGAGTCCTTCCCTCATGTGATACCGTTTGAGGGGCCCAGGATGGAGGTCCATTTCTACCTTGCAGTCTCTCCATTCCTGCCCAAGGTTCCCATCATTAGGACCCAATCATGGTGCCTCAGTGTGCACCAACTTAAAGAGAAAAGAATCTGTTTTGGGCATTACAAGCCCTGGTTTCTTGTCATGTCGTAGGACTGCTACTGATTGGATTTATGGCTTCAGGTAAGTGTTTCCCCCTCTGGGCCCTGAGTTTCCCATCTGTAAAATGAGTGGGTTTAACAAGATAGTTGAGATCATGTCCTCTTCCAACATTCTGGGTTCCAAGTAACCTATTGCACTGAAGTCAGCCATTCACCCTATATTGAGAATTGCCTTAACAAATCCTTTCCAAGGTAGGAGCTCCTAAGAGCAGGTCCTTATGAGACTTGGAAGAAAGGGGGCCAGACAGAGATCTCAAGAAGCCTGAGAAAGGTCTCATTAGGAGATCCATTGCAGAAAGATTCCAGTAACAGGCTTCAGCCATATCCCTGTTTCTTCCAAGCTTCCTTTTTTCTATCCTCACTCACTTGTCCTCCATCATCTAGCATTTACAAAGTACCTCCATGAGTCAGTCAAACTTGCTCTGAGCATCATGTTCTCATCACCAAGGGACTCCAGTAGAGCTACCATTTATTGCGTCCTTGTTATGTGCCAAGCACCTTTTATGTATTTTCTCATTTACTCTTACAAACACTGCGTGAAGTTGTTTTTTATTATTGCTTTGGTATCTGGCCTGAGAACACAGAGCTCCTGAGTGCTGGGGCTAAGATCGTACCCAGCCCAGTTACTAAGCCCCCCTATACAGCCATGCAGTGAGGGGGGAGCAGTTCTGTTGGAAACAGGCCTGATGGTGATTTCTGGGGCCTTTTATGGATTTCTCTACAGGCAAAAGAAAAGTTCCGAGATTTTGAAGTCGCTGGAAAATGAGAGGTATGTGTTCTACTCTGTGTTCTTTCCCAGCCCTCTCTTCCTTCCAGGGAGGTGAGCAGCTTTGGGGAGAGAATGTCTTATGCTTCCCCTAAAGCTGTAAGGAGATTCACCTCCTTAGGGAATATTGAATTGAAAAGAATTACTGTCTTCAAGTTCTTTTAAAATATATGTACATTCCTAAGAAAGAATAAGGATCATGTATAGTGTCCAGCTGTATTTTCAGTATAAAAATTTGGGAAAAAAAAATTTCTGGAAAAACATTCGTTGCCTAAATTATGAACAAAGGAATAATCTGCAGTCATTAACTATCTTGTGGAAGCATGTTCCTTGTTAGGGAAAATACAAAATGTTGCTAAGCAGGAGAATGGTGGGCCCGATTTAAAGCAGCACGTCCAGTATATGAGTTTTTAGAGACAGTCTGCAAGTGTCTCCACAGAAAGCCAAGGGACCCACCCCTACATGTTTACACTAAATGTTTTGAGAGGTGGGAATTATAGGTGGTGATCTTTGTTTTTTTCCTTTGTGTTTTTCTGTATTTTCCAAGTTTACTGCTTTGGGGTACACTACTTTTATAATCAGAAAAGATGTTAGGTGGGAGGGATGAAATCCACTCCTCCTACCCCCACCTGACACACTGAATGTGAGTCCCTCTCCTGTGTTCTCTGGAATCCCAAAATATCAGTGTGGACTTTCTCGCTGTCCTTGGCAGGGGTCTCCCTACTCCCAGGTAGCCCAGCCTTCTGGACCCCTGGATGCTGGGCAGACCTTCGGCACGGTACTCCCACAGGGTTGGAAGGTAACCGTATCGCCCTGCCCACTCAGCAGTGGTGCTGGGGTACCCAGGGAAGGTCAAGGCCCAGCTGAGTCATGGCAGGTGACACCACTCATTCAGCACAGGCAGACCGCGTGCCTTCTCTGTGCTCAGCCTGGGCTGGGCCTGGGGGCGTGGCGATATGCCAGACACAGCTTCCCTTGAGTAGCTTGTGGTCCAGGGCAGGAGACAGAAATACACAAACAATACGTACTTCTTCCGGCTAAGTCTGTCCCTGCAGAAGCATGAAAGGATGATGTCCCCTCTAAAAAATGAATACCTCATTTTTTTTTTAATAAAGTTTTCATTATTACTGCCTTTTATTATCAGTGGAGCCCTGGTGGTGCAGTGGTTAAGAGCTTGGCTGCTAACCAAAAGGTCACAGTTCAATCCACCAGCCACTCCCTGGAAACCTTATGGGACAGTTCTACTCTGTCCTGTAGGGTTGCTATGAGTAAGAATTGACTTGATGACAACAGGTTTGGTTTTTGTTACCAGTATCTTTATAAATCCAGTCTTTGTCTTTGGTGGTTGGCAAGAGAATGATAACATCAGCAAAGTATATGCTGCAACATTGTAGTACATGTTACTGATGATAAGATGTAAGAAAAAAAAATGGACGGTGTAAGTGCGGTTCATAGTAACGTGAGTATGTCGTGTCATAAGTCGAGAGCTACCTGTACATACATGCAATTACCATTTTTATTTTCACTTATTGTATCATGGGTATATTTCCATGCCAAACACTTCATTATTTGTAATAGTTGTAGAATATTCCACTGTATGATTACATTATAATTTATTTAATTAGTCCTCTGTTCATGGGTATTTGTTTCCAGTTTTTCTCAATTACAAACAAAATTATAGTGAACATCCTCTTAATATACCCTTAAATGCACTTCTATGAATATTTCTGAAGGAAACATTCAAAGGATTTGCATATTTAATGTTTTGATGTGGCACTGCCGGACTGCCTTCCAAATAACATTTTGCTGATTTGCCCTCCTCTCAACAGTATATGAAAGTGCCCATTTCTCCACCCTCATCTCTATCACCAGTGGTCACTGGTTTTAATCTCAACCAATCTGATAAGTGAAAAGAAGATTTTACTTTCTCTAGTTATCAGTGAGGTTAAGCATCTTTCAGTGTGTTCACTGATGACGTATATTTAAGCATCAGTGAATTGGGTGTTTGCTTCATTTGCCCATTTTTCTTTTTATTCAAGAAACTCTTAACTACAAGGCTGAAGATTAACACGGACCTAAGGGAGGTGCATGATGTAGTGGGCATTCAGAGAGCATGCTAGGTTAGCACATCAGGGAGGATTTCCTAGAAGAGGTGGCATTCATCTGATTGGATTCCCTGTTGGAAATGTTGTATTTGCTGAATGAATGGACGGATGTTTTCTAGAATAAGAATGGAACAGTTGATGTCCGTAACCCAGGAGGAGACAGAGAACCTGCGGCGACGTGAGATTGCCTGTGAGTCTGGGGACAGGGAAGGGAGGAGGTCCCTGGGGCCAGCACTTGGCTGACTGGGTGGACAGGGATAGATAGCCCTCTATTTCGGTCACATACAGAGGGCAGTGAGTGTTAAGTCCAGTAAAGTCCAGTCATGAAACATGGGCTCTGAGGTCAGGCTGCATTCAGAATCCCAGCTCTGACACCATCTGTATGGCCTTGGGATTACTGGTTCCTAACTTTTCCGAGCCTCAGTTTCCTTATTTATAAAATGGAGAAAGCAATAATTCCCTACCTCATAGAGTCAGTATGAGGATCAGATGAGATAATGCTGGCATAGACTGAGCATGCCACAAAGCATGGCTATTACAAATTCAGTATCAAGAGCTGGGGTTGTCCCTTGTTTGTCTTCCTGGGCAGTCTTCTCCTTCCCGTGCTTCCCCAGGAGTGGCCCTGTGATTCCACATTGTCCACACTAATGAGAGAGGTCTCCCTCCATCTGATGCGAACCATGTGCCAAGGAAGGCCAAGGAGGAGAGAGGCTAGAGGGAGAGATGGAAAGATAGGGAATGGTTCCGTTTGGATTGCACGTTCTTCAGAGCCGTTGTGATAGAGTGGGCTATTCTGTGCGCCCTTAGTCAAGGCTTTCCGAGAGCGAGGCACTGTGCCAAGTACTCTCCATACACCATCTCACCCTCACCACCTGATGAGGCATCGGGTCATTAATATCCTTCTTTTAAAGATCACTGTTAGCTACCATTTGTAAAAAGGAAAGCTGTGTTCACTTTTACAGAAAAATCTCCAGAAGGATGTTTATCAAATTAACTGTGGTTACTGCTTAGGAATGGAATCAGTGGCAGGGGACTTCTGTGTTCGACTTTTCTAACTTCCCTTAGCTTTTTAAAAATGAACGTGTATTATTTTTATAATTTTAAAATGTCAATAAAAATAACAAAAAGGCAGGAAAAGGTAGCACCTGGAGTTGTTGAGGGCATAAGGAATGGGGCTGTCCTCTTAGCTGCTGTAGGGAGTATGAGTGGGCTGCATCTTTCTGGAGGGCTGAAAGGGTAACCCAAATTACCCATGGCCTTAAGACTGTGGCCTTCTAAGCACTATTCTTAGGAAATAATCAGATGGGCACAAAGATGTTTGAGCAAGGTTATTTATTGAAGTATCACTTAATTATTGCAAAAAAGAGTCCAAATGCCCCAAAATAGAGGATTATCCAACTAAACTCTGGTAACCCATGCCTTGTAGTACTCTGCAGCCCTGAACATCGCATCAAAGAAGGATATTTATTGATGAGGAAAGTATTCATGGAAAGTGAGAAGTGGCAGCTTTACTGTGATACCATTTAAATATTTTTTAAATGCATAAATATGCGTAGAGAAATGACTGGAACAATATACATCAGAGTATAATATTGCTCATTTCTGGGTAACAGGAGTATAGATGATTTTGTGTATGTGCTGTTTAGTGTTTTACAATTAGTCAGCATTTCAAGCTTATGTTACTTTTATAGTTAAAAAAAAGAGTTGTCTTTTTAAAGGGTGACGCTCAGGTGAAAAACCAGGTAAACCCTATAAGGCCGGTTCCTTAGCTCCAGAGAAAATTCCAGCTGCATCCTGCCCTACCCTGGGAGTGGCTGGCCTTTCTCAGCCTGCCCTGGTGTTTCCACAGCCGCCATGCAGCAGATGCTGACTGAGAGCTGCAAGAACCGGCTCATCCAGATGGCCTACGAGTCTCAGAGGCAGAACTTGGTCCAGCAGGCCTGTTCCAGGTAAGTAAGGAAGAGGTTTCTGGCAGGGCCACTTGGACTTGCTGGCTGGAGGTGAGAGCTGGGGCACTAGAATCCCCTGTCTTGTGCTGCCATAGGGGCGGCTGTGCTATCAGGCGCAAATGTGACTGGTCTTTTGTGACTTTTCTAGCTGAACCCCGTGATTGTGTGTTGGGCTGAAATAAAGTCGTAATAACCACTAACATTTCTTGTGTACTTCGTATGTGCCAGGCACTAGGCTAAGTGATTTACTGAATTTGTTTATTGATTCTGCAAAGGACCATATTGTTAATAGCCCCATTTTACAGTTGCAACTGTGACGTTCAGAGAGACTGTGTAACACACCCAAGAAAATATAGCTAGTTGGTGGCAGACCAAGGATTTGAACCCAGGCAGAGTGCAGGCTGTGCCCTTGTCCATGGTGCCCTTGTCAGTCTTCCAGGGCTCTGCACAGGTTGGGAGTGGGATACACTCCAGGGGATGGATGACAGGATTACTTTCATGCTCATGGTTGCTCTGGGGTCTGGCTCCCCCAGTTCACCACAGCACTGCGGGTTTGTCTGTTGATGGAGCCACAAGCTCCTGGCGGAGTCAGCTAAGAAAAGCTCATCGGTTGATGCTCAGGAACCCCAGACAGAGATAAGCCAGCAGCTGTAGCGCCCCCACACTTCTCCCATCCAGGCGGCTCTGCACAACTGCTCCCTCCACATGTCCCTACTATCTGGAGATTTCTCCCTCCTTCCTGGTGGTGTGATATTGTGCTTAGGAGCATTGGCCCTGGGGTCAGGCAGACCTGGATCCGGGTCCCACCTCTACTTACTAACTCTGAAGGCTTGGGAAAGTTACTTTCCCTCCCTGGGCCTCAGTTGTCTTATTGGAAACATGGGGATAAATCATCGCACATACCTCATAGGGTTGCTGGAAGAGTTAACAAGTGTTAATGAGCATGATGTGTGGCATGTCGGGGTCCACTAAATGGTAGCTATTATGAACCAAACAAACTCAGAACCAAGACTATACTAGAGTGTGGATGTATGAGACTGCAGGTTTGGATTGTTGTGCTAAAACCACCAGACTTGAGTCACTTCCGGACAACATGGCGCTACAGACAAAAGCATCATGCTGTCCCTCCACAGCGAAGATCCAAGAAACTAAGTCAAACAGAGTCACACGACAGTCCTGAAACCCTAAGCATCAAATGAAGCGATAAAGAACTCAGCCAAGCACCGAATGGAATAAGAAACTGACTGAGAACAGAGAGTAAGGAGAGATATATGCAGAGGTCCCCTATCAGCTACCACAGCACGGATCCAGCATCTGAGATCAGCGAACAGGGGTTATGAGAAGGCAGCTTCACGGAGCTTCCAGCAGGAGACAGAACAACCAGTAACCAGCGATATACACTTTCCCACTCCCCACCCTTCTTCACCCCCACTTGACCTCCTCCGCTTCCTGGGACCACAGTTTCTTGGCCGGGAAGCACCGGCTTCACCTCAGTGTCACTTGGATTCCACCTGCCCGCACTGGCTGGCTCCCTGAGTGCCAGTTTTTGGCTGCTGGTGTTGCTTTTTTCCGCTTCTTTAGATTTCTTCCTTACCTCTCACCACCTCTCCCTCCTTTCTCTCAAATACCTGGCTCCGTGTGCCATCTTTACTTCTTCCTGAAAGGCTGCAAAACACCGCTCAACTGCGAAACTGCTTCCCAGCCCATGGTGCCACACTGGTGGGACCCCCAGAGCTTTTTTTGTTTGTTTGTTCTGTTTTGATCTGTTTGTTTGTTTTCTTTTTCTTTTCTCGGCTTGGGAGCTCCTTGTAGCCAGGCAATACCACGTGGCTTGGGAGCTACTCCTTTACTCTGTGCAGACGCACGGTGACATCCCTGGGGACATTTCTTTTTTCTTGTTTTTTGGGGGGTTTTTTTGTTTGTTTTGTTTTCTTCTCTCTCTTTTTCACTTTTTGTCTCTGTTCAGTTTCTCGTCTCTCTGTACTTACCTTCTCCTCCTGTCTCCTGAATACCTGGCACTGTGTGACACCTGTACCCCTTCTAGTCAGGCCGGGGAGCAACTTCCCCAGTCCTAGCAGCCACACTGGTGGGATCCCTGGGGGCTTTCCTTTCTTTTTCTTTTTTTTTTTTTTGCCCCTAATTTTTATTTATTCTTTTTTTTTACCCTTTTTTTTCCTTTTTGTTTTTCTCCATTTCTCAGTTTCTCATATTTCCACTCCAATAGCATACTCCCTTAGCACTCTTTTTCTTTGTTTGTGTGTATATTTTTGGCTCCTGTTCCTCTCTCTTCTCTCTCCTCTATCCCATATGCATCTTAGCTCCACACATCACAATCTCCCCCCTCCTTCTTTCCTACCTTCACCATGCGCTGAACATCACACTCCCAAGGAGCACAGGCACAGCCTACTGGAACCTGCCCTGCGCTGATTCCCGGTCTGTCCTGTCGGCCCTAGTACATGCCACAAACAACCCATCCAGCATCTTCCCTTCAGCTGGACCTGCCCTGCTGTACCATACCTGAGTGACTGACCCTGCCCACTGGAGAGGGAGGTGAAAAGTATCGTGCCCACAGATGAGCAAACAACAAAGAACACTCAGCCTGCCTGCTGAGACATAGCCAAATAAAACAAAAAAGCAGGATGAAGCAAACAGATCTACAATCAATAAATGAGGAAATAACTACTGAATGCCCCAAAGACAGCAGACAATATCAAAACATATACAAAAACAGGACAGGATGGTTCAAGTAGGCATCCAAAATAAAACACCAGATGACTTTCCAGTAGAAGAAAAGGCACTAGAACTACCTGATAGGGAATTCAAATCTTAATATTAAGAATTATGCAAGAGTTGAAGCAAAAAGAAGACAAAAATGAGAAAAAAAATAGACAAATTCATGGAAAATACAGACAAAAAAATGGAAGAATTCAAGAAAATAATTTAGGAACAAAATGCTAAAATAAATTCACAACTATAAATCATACAAAAACAACAATTAGAAATCCAAAAGATAAACAAGATTTCAGAAATAGACAGTGTCATAGAAGGCCTGAGGAGCAGATTTGAAATGATGGAAGACAGGATCAGTGAAATTGAAGACAAACACTTGGATACAACTCTGTTTGAGGAAAAATCAGAAAGAAGAACGAAGAAAAATGAAGAAACCCTGAGAATCATGTGGGATACAATCAAAGGCAAAAATTTGCTAGTGATCGGAGTTCCAGAACGGGGAGAAAACAGAAAACACAGAGAGGACCATTGAAGAATTGCTGACAGAAAACTTCCCCAATATCATGAAAGATGAAAAGCTGACCATCCAAGAAGCTCATCGAACCCCAGATAGGATAGATCGCAAAAGAAAATCACCTAGGCATGTCATAATCACACTTGCTAAAACCAAAGACAAACAAAGAATCCTGAGAGCAGCTCGAGAAAAACAAAAGGCATATACAGAGGAGAAACGATAAGACTAAACTCGGATTATTCAGCAGAAACCATGCAGACAAGAAGGCAATGGGATGACATATATGAAACCTTGAAAGAAAAAAATTGCCAGCCAAGAATAATATATCCTGCAAAACTCTCATTCAGATATAATGGTGAAATTAGGTCATTTCCAGATAACCAGAAATTAAGGGACTATGTAAAAACCAAACCTACGAGAATTACTAAAGGGAGTCCTTTGATCTGAGAACAAACAACATCAGCCCACAGGCTGAATCTAGGACACAGGATTGTACAAGCCAGATACCAACCTAGGAAATGAACTCTTAAGGACTAGCCAAACCAAAAGAATTACGACAGGGAACCAGAGAGGTTAATCTGTAAATGACAACAGCATCAGAACAATAAAAGAGAGAATAAATGGTGTAGGTATAGACCCTTCTAATGGACAGGAAGGCAAGGCGATACCAAGTAATAATAGACTGGTTCAAACCTAGGAAGATACGGGTAAATTTCAAGGTAACCACAAAGAAAATTAACAGACCTGCTCATCAAACTAAAGAAGAAAAACATAAAATCTCAGTAAAAACAAAACCTACAAAAACAAAAGAAATGAAAAAAAAAATCCACAAACAAAAGGAATTCAGTGCAGGAGAGTAAGAGGAACAAAGAAAATGTCAACACCACAAAAAAAAGCACTGCAAAATGACTGCAATAAACTCACACCTATCAGTAATTACACTGAATATAAATAGCCTAAATGCACCCATAAAGAGATGGAGAGTGACAGAATGGATTAAAAAAAAAAAAAAACAGGATCCATCAATATGCTGTCTACAAGAGACACACCTTAGAAACAAAGATTTGAATTTATTAAAAATCAAACGATGGAAAAAAATATATCAAGCAAACAGCTACCAAAAAAGAGCAGAAGTGGCAATAGTAATCTCAGATAAAATAGACTTTAAAACAAAATCCACCATAAAAGACAAAGGAGGACCCTATATAATGATTAAGGGGATGATCCATCATGAAAACATAACCATAATCAACATCTACACACCCAATGACAGGGCTCCAGAATACATAAAACAAACTCTAACAGCACTGAAAAGAAAAATTGGCAGTTCTACAATAATAGTAGAAGACTTCAACACACCACTCTCGGTAAAGGACAGAATATCTAGAAAGAAACTCAACAAAGATACAGAAGACCTAAAGGGCACAATCAGCCAACTTGACCTCATAGAAATATATACTACACTACACCCAGCAGCTGCAAAGTATACTTTTCCAATGCACATGGAAAGTTCTCCAGAATAGACCACATCTTAGGCCACAGAGCAATTCTCAACAAATTCCAAAACACTGAGATAATACAAAGTATCTTCCCTGACCACAACACCATCAAGCTAGAAATTAATAACAGGAAGAGCAAGGAAAATAAATAAATTACATGGAAACTGAATAACACCCTGCTTACACATCACTGGGTAATAGAAGAAATCAGAGATGGAATCAAAACACTCCTAGAATCAAATGAGAATGAAAACACATCATACCAAAACCTTTGGGACACAGTAAAGGCAGTCCTCAGAGGACAATTTGTGGCAATAGATGCACACATCAAAAAAGAAGAAAGGGACAAAATCAAAACATTAACTACACAACTCAAAAAACTAGAGAACAGCAAAAAAAAAAAAAAAAAAAAAAGCCCACAGCCACTAGAAGAAAGGAAATAATAAAGAGTAAAGCAGAAATAAATAAAATAGGGAATAGAAAAACAATAGAAAGAATCAACAAAACCAAAAGTCGGTTCTTTGAAAGGATCAACAAAATCAACATAGCGCTGGCCAGACTGACAAAAGAGAAACAGGAGAGGACGCAAATAACCCAAATGAGAAATGAAATGGGGGACATTACAACAGACCCAACTGAAGTAAAAAGGATTATAACAGAGTATTATGAAAAACTCTACTCCAACAAATTTGAAAACCTAGAGGAAATGGATAAATTTCTAGAAACATACT